TTCACACTCTAGCATACAAATATGTAGCAAACCCCGGCTCCTACATTCTCGTATTCAATCTGTAAGAAACCCAGACTCTAACACTCTACCATATCAGCCTGAGAAAAACACCAGTGTTGACACTCTACCAATCTTCTCACCAGTCTTTTCTAGTGACCCAATTCGAGCTGTTGTTTACGTTGTTAATTTTCCCGTCTCATTCCTTTATAGACTCGTAGTTGTGTCGGTTTTTATTAAGTTCCATCAAGGTTGCTGGCCATCGATCTGTTGTTTACGTCTGCGAAGAGTCCATTTGTGAAAGTTTGGTGTCTCCCTGTCTGTCTATTCACTTCATGTCAAAAAAAGTAAAGACCCTCTTTCACGCTGTTAAGCAGAGTCGGATTTGGTTAGACTTATGCTAAACAAGTTGTTGTGTAGGACTCCAGAACTATTCGAGGCCCTAACAATTTTTAGAATTTGTTTTGGGAAGTAAATTTTCCTCAGCTATTTTTGGTGCAAACTCACTGTTGTCTTCATTATATATTTATATCATCATCATCATCATCATCATCATCTTGTTCACCGGGACCTTGCTGTGTCGAGGTGAAGTAAAATTTGCGGGAAAGTGTCCGTTTGTATGCTTGGAAAATAGGGCCTTTGTAATTCATTCTGCTCATCGCTTGCTTGGTCGGCCTCTCCTCTTGCCCTCCAACCTGGTCTGTATATCATTACTTTATGTGGTATACTGTCTGCTGACATCCACGTTATATGGTCGACGAATTTCATTTGTTTTCTAATGAAATCCAGAGCTGCTGCTAACTCCCATTTTCTTTCGGATTGCATAGTTTTTGACCTTATCTTTTCTTGAAAGCTTTCCGCGGGAATCTCATTTCTGTTGTTAGTTTTCTTTTCTTTTGTGTGTGTGTGTGTGTGTGTGTGTGTGTGTGTGTGTGTGTGTGTGTGTGTGTGTGTGTGTGTGTGTGTGTGTGTGTGTGTGTGTGTGTGTGTGTGTGTGTGTGTGTGTGTGTGTGTGTGTGTGTGTGTGTGTGTGTGTGTGTGTGTGTGTGTGTGTGTGTGTGTGTGTGTGTGTGTGTGTGTGTGTGTGTGTGTGTGTGTGTGTGTGTGTGTGTGTGTGTGTGTGTGTGTGTGTGTGTGTGTGTGTGTGTGTGTGTGTGTGTGTGTGTGTGTGTGTGTGTGTGTGTGTGTGTGTGTGTGTGTGTGTGTGTGTGTGTGTGTGTGTGTGTGTGTGTGTGTGTGTGTGTGTGTGTGTGTGTGTGTGTGTGTGTGTGTGTGTGTGTGTGTGTGTGTGTGTGTGTGTGTGTGTGTGTGTGTGTGTGTGTGTGTGTGTGTGTGTGTGTGTGTGTGTGTGTGTGTGTGTGTGTGTGTGTGTGTGTGTGTGTGTGTGTGTGTGTGTGTGTGTGTGTGTGTGTGTGTGTGTGTGTGTGTGTGTGTGTGTGTGTGTGTGTGTGTGTGTGTGTGTGTGTGTGTGTGTGTGTGTGTGTGTGTGTGTGTGTGTGTGTGTGTGTGTGTGTGTGTGTGTGTGTGTGTGTGTGTGTGTGTGTGTGTGTGTGTGTGTGTGTGTGTGTGTGTGTGTGTGTGTGTGTGTGTGTGTGTGTGTGTGTGTGTGTGTGTGTGTGTGTGTGTGTGTGTGTGTGTGTGTGTGTGTGTGTGTGTGTGTGTGTGTGTGTGTGTGTGTGTGTGTGTGTGTGTGTGTGTGTGTGTGTGTGTGTGTGTGTGTGTGTGTGTGTGTGTGTGTGTGTGTGTGTGTGTGTGTGTGTGTGTGTGTGTGTGTCTCTCTCTCTCTCTCTCTCTCTCTCTCTCTCTCTCTCTCTCTCTCTCTCTCTCTCTCTCTCTCTCTCTCTCTCTCTCTCTCTCTCTCTCTCTCTCTCATTATACAGATCTTGCATTGATAACACAGGATTGGCAAGAAGATTGTGTCATAGAGTGCTTTTTGTGTCTATTGATACGTTTGTTTCTTCATATTGGTGCCATTTGCACAATGAGTTCGTTTGATTTGTTTCATCTGTCATCAATCTCATCTTCTGCTTTTCCAGCTGATGGTATTATGCTTCCTAAGTATTTGAAATTTCTATTTTCTGACGAGACTATATACTGAATGTAAATTAAAAGTAAAGAACCTTTTTCCACGCCTTTAGGCATTTGGGCATATCGGGCTAGACCAATATTATATAAACCAAACGGCACTTGGTGGTTGATATGATCACACGACCGCCTTTACTTCCCAGGACTGCACCTGGTATCCATTCAAGGCTGGGTCAACTTGGGAGTCAAAGTCATTTATATAATAAATGAACTACCCTAAATTCAGAGGAAAGAATATTTTTGCATGCTTCATTTTGTACACTGACCTTAACGGCGTCGCCAGTGAGACGTTGTTTTCTTCATTCATTTTTGCCAGAATATGTTATGTTATGTTATGTTATGTTATGTAATGTCGGGTGTTCAGGTCATGACAGAGCCGGGCCTTTTTCGAAAATGACCTTGGCTCCCAGGTCGACCCAGCTTTAAATGGGTACCAGGTGAAGTCCTGGGAAGTAAAGGCGGCCGAGTGATGTTGACCACATCACCCACCAAATGCCGAATGGTCTGCAAATTATAGGTCTAGCCCTATATGCCCTATACGCCTAAAGGCGTCGAAGAGGGTCCTTTAATTTTTTTTTTCTTTTCCTTGTATGCTCAATACGTCTGAACTTTACTAACTTTTTATGTTATGTAATGTTTCACGGTAACTGCTGGGCTTTCCCATTCATGCACAGTCCTCCATTGCAGCACCCATCTCAAAGTGTGTCTGCTAACTGTTCTACAACCCTTATATCAGCAACTTTATTTGTCTCTTTTCCTCAGTGTATATGTGACGATGTTTCCACTGATAGATTCCATCCTGTTTTGTCTTTAAAGGTGAGATCAATGTTTAATGTTGTGAAACGATTTTAAAAGCAGAACTGGCACTATTTTTTCGGCATCTTTATTTGTTTGAATACTTTTGCATAAGATACTTTGCAGTGAGTCCCAGCACTTTTTTAATACACTTTATGCAGGGAACAGCCCATGTTATTTCCTAGAAAACAAAGCACTGGTTAAAGGAGATATATTTGATCAATATGGCAGGAACCAGACAACTTATTCTTCCTTTGCTTCATACACTCTCAGGAAAGCAGTTTGCCTACCGTTCTGTAGTTAAAAGTTGGGCTGAGATATCTGTCCCTATTTTGCAAATGCATCTGATTTAAGCAAATCCCTAATTGGTCCTCTATTAAATCATGATTTTCAAGTGGCAGTGCTTCTGTCGTTTTATATCCTCATAATGGCCCTGCAAAACACACAAAAAAAGGTTGTTGCGTATCCTTTACAGGGCGTTGCAGAACCAACCCTAACAGCCCCTGGCTGTTGAAAACACACAAGGGGATCTGAAAAGATAAATAGATATATTTTTTTTTTCTAGACCCTGTTTTGTCTATCAGCTTCAGATTTTCTACTTGTTGGTTCACAGTATTCTTATAATTTGTATGTAGCATTTCATTTCAAAGCTCAGATTTTTTCTGCATTATGTAGGAGTGCATGACTCATATCCATAAGTTGCCACTAAAAAGATGCATTATTTCAGAACTTTTCTTTCACTTGCTTGCAAGTACAGTGCCATGAGTTTTCATGTTTATAACAACTTTAGGTCAAACCATTTAAATATTTCAGTTGCAACTTTGACTAACTCTGAGCACAGGCTTGATTTGTGCAGTGGCATGCTTTGTTTCGAAAGTCACTGGGGAGGAGCGTTGTCTGGATTTCTTCCTTGGGGGATACCGGTGTGTTGAGAAATGAACAGGCAGACAGACTGCCTGGCTCTGCACAACTTGGTGGAATACTGAATGATGAGAATGCAAACATCGTTAGGGCCTTATGGGAGAACATGTACAATTCAGAGGAGCAAATGGATCACCACAGTCTGGTGAGAGTGATGCACTGAGGAGGGATGAGCGTATCTGGTCGATACATAACTCTCAGAGGGAAAGCAAGATAGACGTATAATCAGAGAGCTGGTGCACCATTAGTATAGGAACTCTGCTCTGGTTGCTAAAGATGGGGGACGGAGTGCTTATGCGAATGCCCCGACTGCTGTGATGTTGGTTCTTGAATCAACTCACCTCAACTTACTCTGAAAAACTGACTAACTGTTTGTCCTGTCTGTGCAGCTATCTGAAGGTTTCACATTCTGATTTTACAGAATCTCAGTTTCCAGAGCAAACCAGTAAGGCTAATTCCGGATACTCTTTTCAGCCTCAAAGAAATTATATCTAGGAAGCCTATAATAGCTCCACCTAGCAAACTGATGCAACCTGCAGTTCAGTGCAGACAGGGATGTATCCTTGAGAAAAAAAATGATTAAAGAAATAAATGTATTTAAAAAAAAAAAATTGTTTAATAAAATAAAGAAATAAAGGTATCAACAAATGTACAAAAATCAGGTCCAGGTGAAAGCCAAAAGTCCAAGCGGACGTTTATCCTGGACCTTCCACTGGAATTCACAGCCGGTGATCGATTAAAAAAAAAAAAAAAATGTTAATCAATTTAAAAATGAATTAAAGACATAAATGTATCATAAAAAGTTAATTAATTTAAAAATTAATATCAAAAAAAGTTAATTAATTTAAAAATGAATTAAAGAAATAATTGTATCAAAAAGTTAATTAATTTAAAAACAAATTTAAAAAATAAATGCATCCCCCAAAAAAGTTCATTAATTTAAAAATGAATTAAAGAATAAATGTATTAAAAAAGTAAACAAATTTTTTAATGAATTACAGAAATAAATGTATCAACAACAAAAAAGTTAATTAATTTAAAAATGAATTAAAGAAATAAATGTATAAACAAAATATTTATTCAAAACTTGTCCAAGAGTCACTAGATTAATCTGCTCTGTTACATTAATATGATTATCTTTATTTATTATGAATCTGTAAGGTTTCTAATTTTTTTCTTTTGTTTATTAATATTTATTGCAGGGATCAGAACTAGTCATGTCCTATGATGAACATGTTTTAACTCACAACTTCAAATTTGGTGTTATATACCAGAAGAAAGGCCAGGTAATTAATCTCTAGTTATTCTTTTGCTCTGTGTTGTTGGCAGCATGCTTTTGAAATGGTTCCTACTGGGTACGGTGAGCATAGAGACATCTTATCTGTAATCTATTTAAATGTTTTGTCAGCAGATGAATGTTTCCATGTCATGACTATGGGTTTGTCATGATTATGGGTTTGTCATGACTATGGGTTGTCCAGTATCTTCACTTGTCTTTCTTTATCTCTCTTCCTATGAATTTTTATTACTTATTATGCGTATCAATATCAGTGGTATCCGTGGCTTGGGCATTGTGAGTCCGACTCGTAATTCCAATGTACAGCGAACGAAACCCACTGCTGGCTGTGTGGATTTTATTGTGGTATAAGGCGTTGCAGGTCGAGCCAGTGAAAACTGGGTACCAGGATGTATGTCTTAGGGAAGTAAAGAGGGCCGGCGTAATGCTGACCACATTACCCACCTAGCACCAGTTGGTCTGTAAAAAATATGAGTGTTCTTTCCACATACCTGATGCACCTAAAGGCGTGAAAAGGGATCTTTACTTACGTGTCAATACTGGTCAGATCAATTCGTGCTGTCTTCCAATGCATCAGTCTCTCCTGCTTTTGTATAAATGAATAAATCAAGCATTGATCTCACTGCACTATGGGGATTCTCTGTTATTTTCCTCAGTAGCCAGTGCAGAGTTTCCAAACTGGTGGTGCCAGTGGTAACCTGATTAAAAGTCTTCCATGTCTTTGAACTGCATGTGTAGAGGAAGCATTTAGATCAATTATAAATAATTTCTTTAACCTTTTACCTTTAACCTTTAACCTTTGGTTTTCTATCAGACTAGGAGAAAAACTAAACAGGCATGTCATTAAAGACAATAGTTAAGGGATTTGCTGAAATCAGATGTATTGGGTCGAACGGTGTAGATATCACAGCTTAGCTGTAAGCTACAACACAACCTTCCAACTGCTCTTTTCAAAGTAAACACAGAAGAAGAGGAAGTATCTCATATTATTGTCCTTGTTTGGCAACATTCCTTAAGAAAGTGGTTTAAATCAAATTAAAGACATTAATTTAAGCGATCAGTGATTTTCTGAATGCTACACACACAAAATTGGTCATGAAACATTAGGAATCCCATTAAAAAATATGTTTAAAAAAAAATCATATTGCACGAGTCACAAATACATTTTTAAAATTTTGAACACAGTGCAAATCTCCCATACTTTGGCATTGTTTTCCATATATTTGGTAATAAATGTTGCTTCCTATGATTGCCATTGTAATAATGCTATGTTGCCATATAACAGACAAGTGAAGAGGAGGTATTTGGAAACAAAAAACACAGTCCTGCAATGGATGTATTTTTAGAAACGATTGGAGACAAAGTACAGCTCAAAGATTTTAAAGGGTATGTATCTGTAATATGTGTCTTGAATTGTAGAGCAAAACATTGTTTACACCAGCCAACCATCTAACCAATCATTCATCTAACCAATCATCCATCTAATCAACCACCCATCTAACTAATCATCCATCTAACCAATCATCCATATACCCAATCATCCATCTAACCAACCACCCATCTAACCAATCATCCATCTAATCATCCATCTAACCAATTATCCATTTAAAAAATCATCCATCTAACCAGTCATCCATCTAACCAATCATCCATCTAACCAATCATCCATTTAATTAATCATCAATCTAACTAATCATCCATCTAACCAATCATCCATTTAACCAGTCATCCATCTAACCAATCATCCATCTAACCAATCATCCATCTAACCAATCATCCATCTAACCAATCATCCATCTAACCAATCATCCATCTAACCAATCATCCATTTAACCAATCATCCATTTAACCAATCATCTATTTAATCAATCATCCATCTAACCAATCAACCATTTAATCAATCATCAGTCTAACTAATCATCCATCTAACCAAACAAACAATCAAGCATCCATGCAGCCAACCAATGTGTTTTGTTCATGTGCATTGTTTCCTTTCCCCTTTCTGATAGACACATTTCAGTGGATTAATTTCTTGTCAATTTTTGAATGGGAGCAAACAGTGAGGCAGACCAAGTCCCCGATGGAGAGAAAATATGCAGGCAGACCCAAAAAAAAAAACTTGGAGTCACCAACTGGAAAGAGAAGGCCGAACACAGAGATCAACAGAAGCAGTTGATATCTGCAGCAGTGAACCAAAAGGGTTCAAAGTGTTAAAGAAGATGTCACCTTTTTGTGTGTGTAGTCATTCTTCTGCTTCTTCTTTGTTCATCCGAGTGACACAATTGCTTTGTGCCTGCTCTCAGCATAGGTGTGCTATCTGCATCTTTCGGCCAATACATCCGACTTAACTGGGCATTTATTCACAGGTATAGCCTTCCTGGATATAGTCATTCAGCTAACCAATCTACCAAGTCAATTTTCGGGAGCCACGTTAGCGCAGTCGATTGGAGTCTCGCTTTCAAATCCAGATGAGACTTGCTGCAGCCACGGTCTGTGTTCGCAAACCTGGCGGTTCCCGGGGTTCACCGAGCCTCTAGGAAATGGGTACCAGAGTTAACACTCTGGGGTGAATGGAGGAACGTTGCTGTAGCTACGGAGTTACGTGCGGATGGTGACACAGGCCGACAGCTTCTTATCAGCTGTTCTTACTGGTGGCAGAGCACTTACGGTTTATAACCGTGTGCAGTGTTGCTGGTTCACATCTCCCGACTTTACCTAATCTACCAAATAATCAACCACTCACTCAGCCAACCAACCATTGAACAACACTTTATACTTTACCTGCCTCAGATCACTATAAACTTTTATTTTCAGATTCCGAGGGGGCCTCGATACAACTCACTGTCAGACAGGTGCTGAGTCGGTGTACACAAAGTTTAACGGGAAGGAGATCATGTTTCATGTCTCAACTCTGTTACCATACACTGAAGGGGACGCTCAACAGGTAAAACATTGTTCTTCTTCTTTTCTTCCTTCTCTTCCACCATTTACCTCAGAAAGGTGTTGGGGCGGGGGGGGGGGGGGGGGGGGGGGGGAGATGTAAGGTTAGTTTGTGTGCTTCTTCCAATACATTATACAAGTTGGTGTTTATTTCTGTTAGGTTGTTCCTGATGGTGTCGCTACATTTTCGTTGTTCTTTAATGAATTGAATGACTGGTTTCTGTCCTAGTCTTCTTCTAATTTCTTAATTCCTGATTTTATCTCTTCTTGTCACACCGGCAGCTCTCCTAAGACATCTCATCTCTGTTGTTACGATCTCTCGCTCATTAGTTGTAGTAAGGAAACATTGTTGAACTTAAAAAAAATTAGTGTTTAATTAAGAAACAACATTATAGCACTCAGGACATTCCTATAAGTGCTATGTCCCCATCTTCAGCAGCAAATGCAGAGTTTCTATCCCGATTGTCCCAGTAAGAGTCTGATTGTATATCCGTCTCACCTTTCTCTTAAGTGTTGATCATCAGCCAGATCCCCTAGTTACTCCTTGCAGTGTCATTCTCCTCAGACCATAATGATCCATCTGTACCTCTGCACTGTTCACTCACCCCCACAGGGCCCTACAACATCCAGCTTGTCATGCATGAGTTTACCACCAAGTTGTACAGAACCAGCCAGTCTGTCTGCCTGTTCATTTTCTGAGATGCCAGCATGACCTAGAAAAAATATTCAAAGGGCACTAACTACCCTAGGGTTTCAATTAATACCAATAATGTAGTTGCTTCATTCCTCACAACAGAATTGGCCAGAATTTTTCCTATACATAGACTTATAATTATGAAATGATACTGCATAATTTTTGCTGCCTTCAGTATTGTTAAGGATATTCAGAATTTAATTAAATACTTTTTTTTCTTCATTTCAAAATTCAGCTTCAGCGGAAACGACATATTGGTAATGACATTGTAGCCATTGTATTTCAAGAGGAAAATACTCCATTTGTGCCAGACATGATTGCTTCCCATTTTCTCCATTGTTTTATTGTAGTACAGCCTGTGAAAGACACTCAACCACAGAGATACAAGGTAATAATTATTACACATTTTTCTTTATACTCCCTTTTTTATAGTTAATTTACATTGGTTTTGTTTGCTTCTTTTCATTTCTCCTCATTTTGCACTAAAACTAAACCGCTTTAACTTAGTAATATCTATTATCATTTTTATTATTGAATAGTAAAGATATTAATTGTTGTTGCACAATTTATTGCCAATAATATTTCGCTGCATTTAATCCAGTTTATATGCCCTAAAATGTATCCTTATTATTATCCCTCCATAGTCTTCTCGGCATGTCTTGTACAGCTGATTAACGTGTGTTCCATAGTTTAGCTAATGGGATACGTTTTCTTCTTCTTCTTCTGCCTTTCTATCCCCCAATGGATCATAGGCCCTCAACCAACTCACGCCAAGTCGTTCTATCCTTCGCCATTGCATGGAGCTCTCCCCATGTCCTCCAAATCTTTCTAACCTCATTCTCCAGCTCTCTTCTCCATGTGTTTTTTGGCCTTCCTTTATCCCTATGCCCCTGTGGGTTCCACTGCAAAGACATTATAGTTATGCTGTTCTCCTGTTTTCTCAGTGTGTGCCCTATCCAACTCCAGCATCTTTTCCTCACCTCCTGATCCACTGGAGCCTGTTTAGTTCTCTCCCAAAGTTCTACATGATAGAATAACTAATGTAGAACTTTGGGAGAGAACTAAACAGGCTCCAGTGGATCAGGAGGTGAGGAAAAGACGCTGGCGTTGGATAGGACACACACTGAGAAAACAGGAGAACAGCATAACTAGAATGTTTTTGCAGTGGAACCCACAGGGGCATAGGGATAAAGGAAGGCCAAAAAACACATGGAGGTTAGAAAGATTGGGAGGACATGGGGGAGAGCTCCATGCAATGGCAAAGGATAGAACGACTTGGCGTGAGTTGGTTGAGGGCCTATGCTCCATTGGGGGATAGAAAGGCAGAAGAAGAAGAAGAAAGCATATCCCATTAGCTTAAGTTTGGAACATACGTTAATCAGCTGTTTTAATTTTAAGTGTTAACTCGTTATTTTTAAGCTGAGACCAGCATGCCTTTTTGTTTACACACCAAAGCAGTTCTACTTAAAGCAGGGATTTTATAAACCATTTGTTGTACAGTCATTCATGCTGTAGAAAAATAAGTACCTGTCTTTGTTACACATTAAATTCTCCAAATGGGTTCTGGTGGGGGGGGGGGGGGGTCCCTCACTGGGGGATGGGAGGTGGGGGGAGGAGGGGGAGAACAAACAGACAGTAAATCCACTGCCCCTTAACAAGCATGTCAGAAGAGGCCACCTATTAGGGTTGTGCTAAGATCAGACATGTGGTGCTGAAGGGTGCAGATATTGCAGCCTAGCTGAAAACCAGGTTGTGCCAGTTGTCCTTTTAAGAGCTAATGCGGAAGAAGAAGAGGAAGAAGAAAAAAAAAAGAAGAAGAACACTTTAAATTATGTGCATTATACCAAATAAATGCCCAGTTTCAAAATTCTCTAAATGTTGTAAATATTTTTTTTGTTAACAAACAAACATACCAATTCTGTGTTCCATCTGTTTTCTTGTTATAACATCTGTTATGTTTTCTATTATTTATTATTATGTATTATTTATTATTATTATTATATTATATATTTATATTAGATTATATATTTATAGTATATATCTATATTTTATATCTATATCTATATATATATATATAATTATTTTAATATGTATATTATTTTGTTATGTATTATATGTTAAATTATTATACTATTTATTATATTTTTTAAAATATTATTATTATTTTTATAACAGTTTTTATTAAACAATACTTGCTAAAGTTATTTGCGTTTCCCTTACAGCACATGGCAGAACCAACCATAGCTGAGTGTTTAGTTTATGCTAGACAAATAAATGTTCATTTGTTTGCCATTGTTTTCTGAATGGTCTGTGCTCAAACCACTTTCAAAGTCAATGCAGAGCATTCTTTTTCAAAATCAGTCACAGCTGGGATTGAACCTGGGGCTTCAGCATAATGAAGTACATTTGCAACATCTCAACTGCAGAATAGCATTATAAATTATCTTCACTTTTACTGTGTATTTTTCCCACTACTTCCTGGTATCATGAGGGCTCATAAACCACAGTATTTGGGGCTCTACAGAGATAATGGCAGATAACAGAGAGATGGAAACTATGTATACAAAGGAGTTGAATGAGAGTAGACTACAAGACATGCCAAGAAGACTATGGAGGGATAATACTGACTGACTGACAGACCTACAAACACTTGGAGGCACCAGGTGGAAAGAGAAGGCTAATTGCAGAGATAACTTGAGGTGGATGATATCTGCAGCAAAGAACCTCAGGGACTCGGAATGATGAAGAAGAAGAAGATACAGTATAGTTTAAGTATACTGTGTATTATACATTTCATTGTTTGATTAACCATTTATGATTTTTATTTAGGATGTTATAACAGTACAGATAATTGTCATTGTTTCACAGCCTCACTTTCTTAAATTTTCCAGATTTCTGTAGCAGCTAGGAAAGATGTGCCAAGATTTTATCCAGTATTACCTCAACCTGCTGAGTTTGTTACCGTAAGTATATATATATATATGTTGGTTACCAAATCTTTCCTGACAAAACTAACAGCTTTGTTTCACTCAAATGTTTTGCCTGATCTACTTTAAGAATTTGTAATATTACCCCTTTGGAGATGACTCGGTCGATCTGTCGGCCTAACAGCAAAATGGCCAAAAAGACGGTTGGGCTGATCTGTCGGCCCAATAATACAAGCCTTGAGACTGGCTGGCAGATTTTGGTACTAGCTAATCAGATTGCTTCTCGCATTTCTTGCACATGCCAGCTGTTCAGTGACGGCTTTCATGAAAGTTTTTTGTGTTGTGAAATTTTACATTTATTGTTTTTGCGTGTCACCTATGCCCTACAATAGTGAAAATTACTGTTGCGTCATAGCAGCCAAAAAATAGCAGGAGGCAGGAAAAGAAGTAGAACCATGTGCCAGAGTCGTCTGAAGGGTCTGCATGGGCTTTGCTCCCAAAACACAAGTATTGAGACTTCATTCGTCAGAAAATTTTGCCAAATTGGAGGCTGCTATTTGTCCTAAGTAATTAAAGATAAAAATGCATGCATAAGTATGCACATGTGATAGCTAATTTGAATAAATGTTGATGTTTCCGGGTGATTCATAAAGACTGTGTTAGTTTATTCAGTTTCCTACAAGAATATATATGGCTTTGTGTATGTTAATTAAAAGTTTTTTTTTTTATAATGTTATGTGTGTAAATTAAGAGAATCCCCCTCTGAAGACTCTGTCTTCTTGGCACTAAAACTCCAAAGAAGGCTCTGTCTCCAAAAGATTAAGAGGTTGAGACAAAAAGGAGGGATCAGGTAAAAGGAGGAGATTGAAGAAGAGGGCAGACATGGCACACACAAAAAAGATGAGGATAAGAAGTAGAAGGAAGAAGAAAGGGATGAAAGAAGATGGGAATGAAGAAGGATAAAAGGGGAAAAGGATGAAGGAAGATATAAAAAAAAGGGGAAGAAACAAGAAGAAAGAAGACATATACAATTAAATATTTCTGTCCCAAATTATTTTAAAACAGTTGCTCGAAGAGGGAAAAAATCATTATTAAAATCACTACAGTAATAGCATTATCAAGGAGTAAGACAGGGATGTGTTTTGTCATCTGATCTCTTCTCTCTCTAAAGTGAAATAATAATAACGGAGGCCAAGGATAGACCAGAAATACTAGTTCAAGAGTGTAATATAAACATTGTTCGTTATGCAGATGATACAGTATTAATAGCTGAAAATGCAGAAGTCCCACAACAACTATTAGACATTGTGGTATCAGAGAGTGCAAAAAAAGGGACTTCCCTCGAATGTGAACAAAACAGAAACAATGGGTTGTTGCAAAGAAGAAGATAACTCCACAATGTGAAATAGTAATCAAAGGAAAAATGCCTAACTAAGTCAATAAATTCAAGTATTTGGGGACATACATAACATCGGATGAATGATGGGTGACAGAAATTAAGAGCAGAATTGACCAGGCAGCAAATCAGAAGATGAAAAGTATATTATATAATAAATCACTCTCATTAAACATCAGAAAACGAGTGCTGAAATGTTAAATCGAGCCTGTTCTGTTGTTTAGCAGTGAATCTTGGAAAATGAGCAAACAAATTAGGAAGAGTTTGGAGGCAACTGAGATGTGGTTCTTGAGAAAAATGTTGCGAAAACCATGGACTGCCAGAATAACTAACAATGATTGCCTGGAAATGGTTAGTGAAAGTGGACAATTATCTAAAACAATGAAAAAGGAGTCAAACAAAGTTCTTTGACCATGTAATGAGAAAAAGAACACTGGAAAATATCGTGATGACTGGAAAGATCACTGGTAGAGAGGCAGAGGCAGACCAAGAGAAATTATGGTAGATGGCTTATGATAGTGGCAAGGAGGAATATCATCAGTGGAATTGATCCAGAACACCAAAAGACACCCAAAACATGCCAGCTTGCAAGGCACTTGATGATGAATAGCATCAAAACATTAACAGTAATAATATTGGACACGAGCATCCATACTGGAACTATAGCATGTTTGGGAAATTATGATAAAGAGTTAATGACACTTTAGACCGAAAGAGTTACCCATGACTATAAGATTTTGTGTGAATTGGTATTGATGTTCTGTGAGGATAGGTAAGTGACATTATATTTTACTTATCAATCCAGGGTGAAGAATTCAGAGAGTTTCTGCTGACCAAGTTGATTAATGCTGAGTTGGCTTGTTACAAGGCAGACCAGTTTGCTAAGCTTGGGGTAAGTTTTTTCTTCATTATCTTTCATTCTCAAAGATACCTCTGTCAACCATAGCAAATCTCATAAGAAAAGTGTTTTAGCTAACATTGTGCTATCAGAGCCAAACATGAACCCTACTACAGCTAATAAGTGGAAGATCGTAACAACAGAGATGAGATGTCTTAGGAGCGCTGCAGGTGTGACAAGAAAAGATTAAATCAGGAATGAAGAAATTAGAAGAAGACTAGGACATAAACCAGTCATTCAATTCATTAAAGAACAACAAATTAGATTGTTTGGCCACCTGACGAAAACTCCCTGGTATCAACTGCCACAAAGAGCCATGCTGAAGAAATATAATGAACACAGAGCAAGGGGAAGACCAAGCAAGAAATGGAGTGACACTATCAGGAGTAACCTAACAGAAATAAACACCAACTTGTACTATGTATTTAAAAAAGTCCACAAACAATCCTTATGGATCCCCACCAACAGCTCGCTGATTTAAATGGTGGTGGAGAAGAAGAAGAAGAAGATTCACTTGAAATAGATTATCTATATCTGCAGTGTTGTCTGTATTATGAACTTCACTGTCTTTTTTAACTCATTTAGCTGGCCGTGAAATTTAGCTTTCACTTGTGTTTCTCTTGGCCAACAGTTTCTAAGTCTTCTTCAAGTCCATGCCGTGTGGCGTTGGTAGTCATGTCTATCCGCAACCTTCCGTCTCCTGTACTTGCAGTCAACTCTGACACAGATGGTCTTCCATAGTCATGCCGGGTGGCATTGGTAGTCATGTCTATCCACAACCTTCTGTCTCTTGTACTTTCAATCAGCTCTGACACAGATGGTCTTCCATAGTCATGCCGGGTGGCATTGGTAGTCATGTCTTTCCACAACCTTCTGTCTCATGTACTTTCAGTCAGCTCTGACACAGATGGTCTTCCATAGTCATGCCATGTGGCATTGGTAGTCATGTCTATCCACAACCTTCTGTCTCGTGTACTTTAAGTCAACTCTGACACAGAGGACTTCCATAGTCATGCTGTGTGGCATTGGTAGTCATGTCTTTCCACAACCTTCTGTCTCGTGTACTTTCAGTCAATTCTGACACAGAGGATGCTCTATAGTCTATGATATCAAGCTGTCCAGCATCTGTTCTCTCGGTCTCACTCTGCCTCTACTCCCCTCCAACTTTCCTACCGTCACAATGTACTCCAGGTTTCTCTTTCTCATCACATGACCAAAGAATGTATACTGTTTATTTCTGATGTGGGCAATCAGTTCTCTTCATGAGTCAGTTTCTTTCAAGACATCCTCATTACTCTTTTTATCTGTCCAGGGTAGTCTCATCATTCGTCTATATAACAACATCTCTGCAGCTTCCAAATAATTTTTCATTAATCTATTAGCCGTGCATGATTCACTTCCAAATAACAAGAAAGGATTTATATAACTGTTAGGAATTCTCTTTCTCATCTCAATTGACAAAAAATGAATACATGAAATATTCTCCATTTTGTAAAATGCTGCCTTTTCTTAAGCTATTCTACATTTAACTATATGTGCCTTTCTATGCTGTGTTTGGGTGAGTCTTAGAGGAAAGGATCTGTTATCTGAGGTGCCAATCCACATGTGCCCATGGCTCATCGCCAGTCTTAAATTTTGTTCACATGTGTCTGCAAATTTGATTATGATGTGTTCTAAGGTGTAGAATAATAACTTGCTCTGGTCTGTCCATAATATGGTAATCCCCTTGTGCCGGTCTTGGTGCCTTTCTGATTGATTTGATTATTCTCTTCTTCTATTAATAAAAGACTGGTACGTCAGGGTGTTTTTCATTTGCACCTTGCTTAGCTAGTTTTTCAGCTGATAAATCTAATTTAAAAACTCTACATTGAACCTTCAATTTAAAAGTTCCATGAGCCCCGAAAGATGTGGGTGTACTGAAGAAAAGGTCATATTTCAAAGAAATAATAACATTCATTTACAAAGGTTCTAGTGTGACTGCGATAAGGTTCTTTGCCTTAAAGTGTAGTGAAACGGTTTCACAATGCATTACTTGAAGTTTACCAGGATTTGATTCCTGTGTACATTGGTTAAGAACATAGCCTGCTGGCCACATCTGGCCACCAAAGCCTAGCAAGTGGCCTGCGGATCATTACCATCTGTTTTGTATTAGTGGTCTTCCTATAATGTGACTTGGGACTATGGCAGGCAATGATCTCAATTATAAACAATTTAGCCCCCGAATAAACTTAGTTGAATCGCCCTGGTTTTGACAAATAATGTTATCACAGTTTTTGGATGTTAGTACAAGAGTTACTTCACAAAAAGCAAATGATTTTTGATTAATCAATACAGAGCTGTCATGATCAGTCATTTTATGCTTGTGGAACTAGTGAGGAGGAGGTTCGGAGTACCTATAGATCTTTCCAGAGTGTTTGTAACGATAGTCTGGTCACTAAAGAAAAGGGGATCCAATATGGTATAGCAGCTAGACCAGTAGTTCTCATCCGGTGGTTCATGATCCCTTAGGGGTCGAATGACCCTTTCTCAGGGGTCGCCTAATACCATCGAAAAAACACATTTTCATTAAAGTTATGAAGTAGCAAAAATAAAGTCATCACCTGCACAGTCCATGGCGACAGCACCAGCCATGCAGCCTTAAATCCTCAGACTCGAAGACCCTCCGCCCCCCACCTACACCACAAAATATAATAAAGGCAGTAATTGGCAGTTTTATGAACTAGCAACGAAAATAATTCTATGGTTGGGGGTCACCACAACATGAGGAACTGTATCAAAGGGTCGCGGCATTCGGAAGGTTGAGAAACACTGAGCTAGGCACTCGCCTGCGGATCTGAAAGTCACAGGTGCAGGTCCTGATGGAGCCGCACTTATTTTCTTAACTGACCTTGGCTCCCAGATCGACCTCACCTCAAATGGGTTACAGGTAAATTCCTGGAAAGTAAAGGTAGGTAATGTTATGTTGACCACATCATCCACTGAGTGTGGATTGGTCTATAAAACATAGGTCTAGCCCTATATGCCCAATGCACCTGAAAGCGTGGAAAAGGGTCCTTTACTTTACTTACTAAAGAAAAGATAAAAGATAGATTAAAAACATGATTGTGGGACAGTCATCATCATCATGTGCCTTACCAACTGATGTAGGTGCTCATGCATTTCCACAGATCACGATCCCTGGTTGCCTGGAACAGCTCTCTTGATGATATCCCTCCATGCCATTGTTTCAGCCCACCCAGCATCATCTCTCTTGGTCTGCCTCTACCCCTTTTTTCACTGATCTTTTCAGTTGTCACGATGTTCACCAATGTCTCTCTTCTCATAATGGGGCTAAAGAACAGTGTTTGTCTCTTTCTTATTATTGTATTTAGAGATCAACTTCCATTAGCTTCTTTCAAGCAACCTTTGTTAGTTACTCTGGCCATTGTTGGACAATGGTGTAGCATAATCAGACAATTTAAATGCCAGTCACTGGACATGATCTTCTTCTTCTTCAGCATTCCCAGCCCTTGAGGTTCATTGCTGCAGATTTCACCTTCCATTCATCTCTCTGGTTGGTCTTCTTCAGCATACCGAGCCCTTGAGGTTCATTGCTGCAGATATCACCCGCCTCCACTCATCTCTCTGGTTGGTTTTCTCTTTTCATTTGGTGACACGAAAGTGTTTGTAAGTCTGTCTGGATGTTATCTCTCCATTGTCTTCTTGGTCTGCCTCATGGTCTACAACCATTCATCTCTCTGGTGTGTACAGTTTTTACCTCTCTGTCATCTGACATTCTTTCAATATGCCCTAACCATTTTAGTCTGTTAGCTCTCATGATGCCAGTGATCAGCGGTCATTTAAACAAATTATGAATTTTGTTATTATATTAATGTTTTATTATTATGTTATATAGTACATGATAGTAAAAAAATAATTGATATTCATCATCATCATTATCACTCACTGTAAACTCTGGTGGAAATTTGTAGTTATTCATCCACTTCTGCATTTTCATCTTGTTCCAGAACTTGAGTTTTGTATGCACTGTTGTTTTACAGACCTGGCTTTTTTAAAAGCAGATTGTTGGTTCTTTGCCTCTTCGGTTATGCTGTTAGTAAAGTAAGTAAAGGTCCTTTTTCCACACCATAAGGCGTGTTGGGAATGTAGAGCTGGGCCTATATTTTGTTTAGACAAATCGACACTTGGTGGGTGATGTGGTCAGCAGCATGCCAGCTGCCTTTACTACCCAGGACTGCTCCTGGTACCCACTCAAGGCTGGTCAACTTGCGAATCAAGTCATTTTTTTGAAAAAAAAAGTCCAGCTTTGTTAGGATGCAAACCCATGAACTTCCGATCCGCAGGCGGGTGACTAGCCGCCAACGCCATGGTGACTCCCAGATTCTGCTATTAGCACAAAAATATTTTCTCTTCTAATATAGCATCGGACACGCGCATCCCTTCTGGAATCACTCTACCATGACCTGCACAAAAGAAACCTGGAGTTGTTTGGTCTGTCCTCGGTTCCTAGTACAAAGCCAGAAAGCAGAACACTTATTGACTCCGTGAAAAGAGCATTCAGTGGAAAAGGCAGAAGCCCCAGTGTGGATTCCAATAGTTTGCAGAGTCAGAAGAAGATGAATGGAATTCAAGGTTCCCTGGCAACAGTTGGAGAAGATGAAAAGGGGACAGCCTCTACGGTAAGTATGGATATGAGAGTAAATTGTTGTTCTCTTGTTAGAAGTTGTTGGTCTCTTATTGGAAGTTGTTGTTCTCTTGTTGGAAGTTATTGTTCTCTTGTTAGAAGTTGTTCTTCTCTTGTTAGAAGCTGTTGTTCTCTTGTTGGAAGTTGTTGTTCTTTTATTAGAAGTTGTTCTCTGATTAGAAGTTGTTGTTCTCTTATTAGAAGTTGTTCTCTAAATAGAAGTTGTTCTCTTTTCTCAGAAGAGAAACTAGATAATTATGGGCTTGAGAGAATGATGTTATTACCAGAGGGTTCGGCCAGCACACTTTGTTCAAAGGAAAGGCAAGAGAGACATACAGCCAGACTATGACTGGCACCATTAGTATTGGAACTCTGTGCTGGCTGCTGAGGATGGGGACAGAGCACATATGGGAATGACCCAAGTGCTGTGATGTCTATTCTTAACGCAACTCTCTTGTTAGTAATTTGATTTACTGTCATTCATTTGCTGTCTGCTATGATCAAAGAAATGAGTGTAATTTGTGGTTTTCTTGTTAGTAACTTCATTTACTGCCACTCATTTGCTGTCTGCTATCATTAAAAAGTTAAGTGTAACTTGTGGTTATCTTGTTAGTAACTTCGTTTACTGTCACTGGATTGTTTGGTTCATGAGTGAAATATTTAATGGAGACCCCTGGGGATCATCACAAAGGCTACAGAGTCCATGCTTTGTGTGATGTTTTCATCAGATGGTTAGCTTTTCTGTAGAGAGACACTGAGCCCCAATGGATTTTGGTGAATGCTCGGGATATTCCTATAAGCACTCTGTCCCCATCTTCAGCAGCAAGCGCAGAGTCTGTTTCTAATGGTGTAAGATTATATATCCATCTCGCCCTTGACCCTGAGTTTTGAGCGTTAGCCAGATCCCCTGGTCACTCCTCACAGCACCCTTCTCCTCACAGCACTCTTCTCCTCACAGCACCCTTCTCCTCACAGCACCCTTCTCCTCACAGCACCCTTCTCCTCACATCACCCTTCTCCTCACAGCACTCTTCTCCTCACAGCACCCTTCTCCTCACAGCACACTTCTCCTCACAGCACTCTTCTCCTCACAGCACCCTTTTCCTCACAGCACCCTTCTCCTCACAGCACCCTTCTCCTCACAACACCCTTCTCCTCACAGCACCCTTCTCCTCACAGCACCCTTCTCCTCACAGCACCCTTCTCCTCACAGCATCCTTCTCCTTACAGCACACTTCTCCTCACAGCACCCTTCTCCTCACAGCACTCTTCTCCTCACAGCACCCTTCACCTCACAGCACCTTTCTCCTCACAGCACCCTACTCCTCACAGCACCCTTCTCCTCACATCACCCTTCTCCTCACAGCACCCTTCTCCTCACAGCACCCTTCTTCTCACAGCACCCTTCTCCTCACAGCACCCTTCTCCTCACAGCACTCTTCTCCTCACAGCACCCTTCTCCTCACATCACCCTTCTCCTCACAGCACCCTTCTCCTCACAACACCCTTCTCCTCACAGCACCCTTCTTCCCACAGCACCCTTTTCCTCACAGCACCGTTCTCCTCACAGCACCCTTTTCCTTACAGCACCTTTCTTTTCACAGTACCCTTCTCCCCACAGCACCCTTCTCCCCACAGCACCCTTCTCCCCACAGCACCCTTCTCCTCACAGCACCCTTCTCCTCACAGCACCCTTCTCCTCACAGCACCCTTTTCCCCACAGCACCCTTCTCCTCACAGCACCCTTCTCCTCACAGCACCCTTCTCCTCACAGCACCCTTCTCCTTACAGCACCCTTTTCCCCACAACACCCTTCTCCTCAAACCATAATGATCTTTTTGTTCCTTCGCACTGTTCACTCACTCCCAAAAGACCTTTCAAACATCTATCTTGTCATGCATTAATTCACCCCCACGGGGGACAGAACCAGCCAGTCATTATAAGGCCACCCTTTTGTCACATGCTTTACAATTGATGTTCTTGACATCAGTATTGACAAGTCACAAGACAGTCTCGTGGTTTTTGTCATTTATAGCACATTTTTTAGGTTTTTATTTGAAACCCCCTCATAATTATTTGAGGTAAGAACTGAATTACATCATTCAGGACATTCCCATAAGCGCTTCATACCCATCTTCAGCAGTCAGCTAAAAGTTCAAATTCTAAGGGTACCAACAGCTGTGTGATTGTATATCCTTCTTGCTTCTCTTCTGATCGCGGAGTTATATAATAGCAAAGAAACGTAAGGCTAGTTGTTTGGTAATGAATGCGTAAATTATTCACAACAAAGCATTCCGTATGTAACACATTTTTTTGAAATTGTATATATCTGACAGGTTCACAAGTCCCCTTCAACTCCCAGAAACCTTGTTCGGCAATTTTCTTCAACTTTTGACAAGTCTATCAAATCTAACAGAGATAGCAAAGGGTAAGCATTTGAAATCATCATTCATCTTAGTAAGCTAGATGGCTTATCATTATTGCACTATGGAGGTGCCCATAGGTGCTCAGATCCTTCCCTCAAGAAGATGGAGAGATAATATCCAGACAGACCTACAAACACTTGGTGGCTTCAACTGGAAAGAGAAGCCCAACTAGAGAGATTCTTCTTCTGCGTTCGACACCAGTCATGCTAAACATTGAGTCCTGTCTGGGTCACAAATAGGATTGCGTGTTTAAGGTAGCCACCGGTCACCCATAGCTTCTCTTGCAATGTGGCTCCTCTGGGCCAGATCCACAGTCTTTGCTGGGAGAGGTTAGGGCAGTACTGTAGTATGTGCTCAGGGGTCTGTCTTTCTGCTCCACAATCACAGGCAGCAGATTCTTTTATGCCTACCCTGTACAGGTGTGCTTGAAGACCACAGTGTCCTGTCCGAGGTCTAAAAATTGATGTTTGTTCTTTCCTGTTGAGTTAACCAGAGAGATAAATGGAGGCTTGTGATATCTGCAGCAATGAACCTCAAGGGCTGGAAATGCTGAAAATGAAGAAGACTAAGGACCGAGAAGAAAGAATTTGCAGACAGGCTCTGAGAAGAAACATTCAGATACATTTGAGGGCAACAGTAGTCCTGAAATCCTTCGCACTTATTGTATAAAATGTTTCTCAATGTGCTCTGATTTTGCCAGTCATACTCACCATTGCCATATGCTGTTATTCCCTAGCCTCTCTATAGCAAAATAAAACACTGTCTTTTGGAAATATGGAAAGATGCTAATAAAAAACAAAATATATCACACTTTTTCTTTGATCCTTCTGTCAGAAAACTTCAGAGGCTAGTAGCAGTTATGAAGACCATTGTGCAGTCCAAATCTCACTGTGTGCCATACAACTTTGTGTTTTTTATTGAAGTTGGAACAGGCCCGGTTGCCTCTCTGGCAGATGGTCTCTCTCTACCAGATATCCTCTCTGCCAGATGGTTTCTCTGCCAGATATCCTCTCTGCCAGATGGTCTCTCTGCCAGATATCCTCTCTGCCAGATGGTCTCTCTGCCAGATATCCTCTCTGCCAGATGGTCTCTCTGCCAGGTGGTCTCTCTGCCAGGTGGTCTCTCTGCCAGATGGCCTCTCTACCAGATGGCCTCTCTGCCAGATGGTCTCTCTGCCAGGTGGTCTCTCTACCAGATATCCTCTCTGCCAGATGGTCTCTCTGCCAGATGGTCTCTCTGCCAGATGGTCTCTCTGCCAGAAGGTCTCTCTGCCAGATGGTCTCTCTGCCAGATGGTCTCTCTGCCAGATGGTCTCTCTGCCAGATGGTCTCTCTGCCAGATGGTCTCTCTGCCAGGTGGTCTCTCTGCCAGTTGGTCTCTCTGCCAGATGGTCTCTCTGCCAGTTGGCCTCTCTGCAAGATGGTCTCTCTGCCAGTTGGCCTCTCTGCAAGATGGTCTCTCTGCATAGTCTACAGTGTGGGAGTACATACTCGTCATTTTCAGTTGCTAAGCTGCAGGGACACATCTCCATGTTTGCTGTATCAATTATATTATATTATATTATATTATATTATATTATATTATATTATATTATATTATATTATATTATATTATATTATATTATATTATATTATATTATATAATATTATATTATATTATATTATATTATATTATATTATATTATATTATATAATTTATAGTATGTGTTATATTAAATTGAATTTTCAGAAAATGACACAGTTTATTTTTGAAATCTGTATAGAAGTTTGCGGATTGACAGCAGTCACAGTATATTGTCCTATCAGGCATCACATTGTTTTTCTGTATTTGGTATGCTTTTCTCTTCTTTTCTTCTTCTTTTCTTCTTCTTCTTTCTTCTTCTTCTTCTTCTTCTTTTCCTTCTTCTTCTTTTTCTTCTTCTTTTCTTCTTTTTCTTTCTTCTTCTTTTTCTTCTTCTTCTTCTTCTTCTTCTTCTTCTTCCCTTTTCTTTTTCTTTTTCTTCTTCCCTTTTCTTCTTTTTCTTCTTCTTCTTCCCCTTCCCTTTTTCTTCTTCTTCTTCTTCTTCTTCTTTTCTTCTTCTTCTTCTTCTTCTTCTTCTTCTTTTTCTTCTTCTTCTTTTCTTTTTTCTTCTTCTTTTTCTTCTTTTTCTTTTTCCTTTTTTCTTCTTCTTCTTTTTCTTCTTCTTCTTCTTCTTCTTCTTCTTCTTCTTCTTTTTCTTTCTTCTTCTTCTTCTTTTTCCCCTTTTTCTTCTTCTTCTTCTTCTTCTTCTTCTCTTCTTCTTCTTCTTTTCTTCTTCTTCTTCTTCTTTCTTTTTCTTCTTCTTTTTCTTTTTTCCCTTTTTCTTTTTTCTTCTTCTTCTTCTTCTTCTTCTTCTTCTTCTTCTTCTTTTCTTCTTCTTTTTCTTTTCTTCTTTTTTCTTTTTCTTCTTCTTTTCTTCCTTCTTCTTCTTCTTCTTCTTCTTCCCTTTTTCTTCTTCTTTTTCTTCTTCTTCTTCTTCTTCTT